GAAGCATATTTGAAGAATATTCTTTTTTTCTGTGTGTTTTTTCAAATGAAAACCCGGGAAAGGAAAGGAAACACCAGGGACACAGGTTCCAAAAAATCGGTAAGCGGGGTCGCACTAATTTGGTGAGACCCCACTGAGAAAGGAAAAAGGCGAGAAAATTTTGTCGAGAGCCCTCTCACAGACATCGTCGCCTCCCTTCTCGTCCATTGTCATCTTCGGCATTCCTGTCAGACGTAGGGGTGGCCACGAGTCGAGCCTTTCATAAGCTATTTGAGCTTGGCTCGACTTGGTTTAAACTGAGCTTCAAGTCGAATTCGAGCCCATTATATAGGCTCGTTTGCTAATTGAGCCAAGCTCTAGCCTAGTGAAGCTCGGTCTATGAGGCTCGTGAGCCTAGTATTAAATAAATAATTTTTATTACATACATACATACATACATACATAATAATAAATAATTTTATTATATACAATAATATTTTTATTTTTCATGTATAATATTAAATATTTTTTATAATTCTTAATTTTTTGTCTAAAAAATAAAAAAATAATTTTATACATATAATTTTTATTTTTCAAAAAAAAACTTGGCTTATAGTCAAGCTCGAGCCTAGTCGAGCTCAAACTTGCGAGCTATGAATCTAGCCGAGYTCGAGCTCGAGTTTGATACTATTCCTGTAAACCAAGCTCAAATAGCCAAGTCTTCGGCTTGGCTCAGCTCGAATCCACCCCTAGCCAGATGGTAAGTGTAGTTCTGACACTATCTCTTCATTCCTATTCTTTTTGATACCGTTTTTCTCTTGTTACGTTTGATGGGTGGCCATTGAAATCTCATTGCTGGCTCCATCCGTCCTTGGTCATCCATACCTCACTACTGGTGTTCTCGGTGAAGGTAGGCTTAGACCTAGCATGATTGAACAAGATCTAGCTTCTAACCAGATAGTCATTTGAGTTTATTCGCACGATCTCTAGACCCGGATTATGGAATATGGTTGTTCCAAATCTAGACATTGTTCTTCGGCACGATAGTATATCTTTTTATTCATACAYTTTTTTTTTGTTTCAATTGAACTCAGATATGAGATTTTGTGTTGTTTTTTGTTATTTCAGGTAATCACAAACAACAAAGCATTTGATTTCAGCTTCGGGTAATAGGTGATCTTAGATCTAATATTTTCTTTCACTACGTTGTTTTTTTTTAAGTATTTTTCTTCTATACTTCACCGATTTGGAATGTGATTAAGATATCTTATATGCACCTCATTGTTGCCATGTGGCAAATTTACACATTCATGTGGTCGACCATACAATGTCATTTAAGAAGATAAGAAATGATGAAAACTTGGTTTAATATGTTTCCTGTTAAATTTTCTTAGAAAACAAACACATAAAAATGAATTTTGATCATATTGTTTCTCGGGAAATAAATACTAGATGCAAAAATGGGAAAAAATTATATTCCTTTCTTATCCCATCCTTTCCCATTTCATCCTTTCTTGGCAATCAAACAAACCATTAGAATCAAAGAGCGCAACAATCTTATGTTCTAACCATAATAAGCAATATATTTATGGTCCTACCCCTCACTCTAATATACTCTTTTGGCATAAATTTCAATAAAGAAACTAMTAATCTACTAAATTGCATTACATATATAATAATKTTTTCTTATAATTATTCATTGATTTTATTTTCCATTATGAAAATGTTATGACTCTGTGCCAATCACCATAAAAATGATTTGACTTTTGAGAAAAAATGATTTGTACACACCACATGGCAATTTAATTTGATACGACGACACTGCATTTTGCATCCTGTATTTAAATTTAGCTTTTACAATCAGTAAGAAAAACAAGGCAAGTATCCGCTACTCCGCTTTACTATGTGGTAACAAAAAAAAAAAAAGTTTTTTTCTTAAAATTTTCATAGCATATGATTTTCACATGTTAGTATTACTATTTAGCTTTTAGGGCCTGAATGGATCCGTTCGCAGCCCTAGATGGATCCAAGTTGGCGTCCAAACAAATCCAAATGAAGAAGCACAGAGCGTTGCCCGAGCCCGGATCCGGTACCCACTCATCACGATAAAACAGGAGCCCACGTCCGTCTGACCAAATTTTTTCACCCTCCCACTTCCATGTAAATCCCTCTCCAGAGAAAAGAAGCTCTTTTGCTTTGTTAGATCTATCTGCCTTCTTGTTTGTTGAAGTTTAAAATTTTCTGTACAAATACCTTCGTTCGCTACCATTAATGATTACTAGCTCTGTTTTTCCGCTGGAATGATCTTAGTCCAAGGCGTATATCAAGACATTAAGTTTCTTCTTCCATTTCCCAGATCTGCTACTGGCATTGTTCTTTTGTTTTTCTGTAAATTGGGTGTTTTATTTATGAAAGTTCCTTCATTGTGATACTATTTGATCTGGGTTTGGTCGAATATTGCCGGGGGAAACGAAGGTTTTGATTTTTGTGGCGAAACTCTTAGCTTGATAACGGTGGCAATGAAAATGGTGGGAGCTCTGGTTGTGTTTCTTTTCCTGGTTTCTGGTTTGAGAGTGGAAGCAGATGGGTCAAATCATAAGTACAAG